TGTGAAACCAGCGAAACCACGACTGTTCAATGTCTAAAGTAAACTACGTTTGATTGCTCCGTAGCACCATGACACGCCCTAGATGGGATACACGCCGCAGCATCGTTATTGTTGCTACCGATGTTCAGAGTTCACAGAAAGAATTCTTACCCTTACTGCACTCAGAAATGGTTATTTTAGGGGAAAAAAATTTCAGTTATAAACAAATACATTTTCAAAATAAATTTTCCAACTTGATCTTTCAAAAATTACAATTCAAAAGTCTTAGGACTAACATGTAGAAGTTGAAGAATGCGTATTTGTCCAAAAGCTAGATATGCTATCAAAGCTTGTTTATGGGTTATACCATGACAACCAACTTAAATTTCGTTATTCGCATAATGTTTGTTTTGCCTATACAAATTATAAAAGAAATGGAAGTTTGTGAATTATTTTTTCACGAAATAGACGATACTACCTTTGTCTGCCAACATTGGTAGCGAAGAAATGTTGCTGACCAGTGATGGCATTGTGACTCAAGGACCAGAAGCCAAACTCACATTTCAGTAGAGATTTCTCGAAAGCAACATTCTTTATCCTAACAAGACGCTCGCTGACTCTTAGGAAAAATAATTAACTGCGCGAAACGTTAATAAACTAGGTATATTTGGTGAATACAATTCAAATCTCATGCAATGAAATTAAGTGCTTTCTTACATTACTATAATTTAATATATTAATAAGCAAAACATACAACTATTTCTCCTCAAAGAAGAACATCAAGCTTTTCCCATTATTTTGGGGATACACAATGCTACTTGTAATACTTGGGGATATACTGACAAAAAAAAGTAGCCCCCGGTATCATGAAGTTGTAGGCCGCGCAACCGTGTTTACCCTGGATTGTCCAGGCGAAGACGGGATGCCGAGAAGCAGCTTATGACCAGGAAACGGCCTCTTGAATTAAAGCAATTGGACCCAACACGCGGTCTGCCGGTTTTTTATTATTCCCGGCCCGCGGAAGTCACACGCAAAATAATGTAGGAAATAGGAAATAAAAACCGACGTTGATATTTCTTCAGAGAATGTCGCTACGTCATGACAGAAACACTGACTAAAAGAATAAATCAAGATTATGTGTATGAGGATCTGCTGGCGCCTGGGCATCTGCAATGTTTCAAAATTATGCTCGACCGTGGGGAACTATCAGCACTGATTCGATCACGTTTTTCAGTCTTGACCAGAAAATGGCTCTGGTGAAAGATGCTGGTGTGAAGAGCAAGTTTAGCTACGTTGGTGGGGAGTGAGTATTTAGTGTTTCGGAACGCGTCATTACTTTCGTCGACATTCCCGTGAGTGATCCCTTTAGTGCAAGTTATAGCCAGAAGACGATGTTCCTCCCCCTTCGGAACGCGAGACCACGAAAAATTCAACGTCGGCTTGCATTCCCTCCCCGTAGAGGGACACTGCCTCAGCTGGGACAAGCTCTAAGCTGGTTCCCCCACATGCGTGGTCGTGTATTGTATTGTATTACAAGTGTGTGTGTAATGGAAGAGTAGGGTGAAAGGATGAGGAAGGCAAGATCGTGTGCTATCCGTTCTTTGTTAGGGTACTGCACCAACATTCGCCTGGTATTGATAGGGTAAATCTCGAAAAAACCGAACCGAGCAGTCGACCGCTACAATTCTCCAACAGACAGTGGCTGAATTCGACATATCCAGCTATTGTGAAAAACCCGAACCCTAGGACCTCCCGCTTCCAGACGCTAAAGCGAAGTTGTGGTTTTGATAACCGTGGTACTTATTTGGCGTTCGTGCTAATATGTTCACTGTCAAGTGGTTGAATATTGAATCTAAGAAAATATGGAAGGTTACTGGCAATTTCCGCTGGTTTAAGGAGAAATGGTCGGAATAAAGGCCCTTACGAAAACCCCTTAAGCTATTCACACCAACGAGATTACAAAGACAGAACTCAAATTGTGTAACAATTGTCGTTTGACAATTGTTAAACTTTTCACGTTTTTATTATTATTATTATTATTATTATTATTTTATTATTATTATTTTTATTATTATTATTATTATTATTATTATGGCAATGTGACAAATCTATATCGTCGCTGCGACCCTTCATGATTTTTGAATTTTTTGGCCCTCGGGTTAAAGCCCTCCTTCCAATAGGCACCAATTAGTGGTGCTTAAAACAGCCAAGTTCTTTCTGGGCACTTCGAACAGCTTCTACACGGGGACGCCTACGATGGCGCTCCCCTGAAGTACTAATTTCAGCTTCAAATTAATTCTCCCCACAGGACTCACCCGTACGCATGCTCGCACCCCATTCACGAAGCTCGGCGGGCATCAAAGGTGGCGCGGGCACCTTGGCAGTAATCTGTATATCCTGGCTGCTGGCGAACACTTTCTACCGCTTCCTGTTGCTCTGTCAACCGCCTTGTGCACAGTCAGAGGTGAAAGCCACAATGGCAGTTCGCCGACGGGACAGGTTGAGCCAAATAACAATGCGGTTATCGTTCAATCGGCGACTAGGGATTGGGACGCGACGTGGTTAATGCAATCCTTTCACCCATCTCCAAAAAACGAAGGCGGCGCGTCACCAGAGGAAAGAAATCCGTGATTACCCCACTAGCGGCAGGAACTCGACAAGCGTCAATGAATTAAATAAACAATACATTGCATTGATTTGAATCTCACAAGGCCCACCGAAGTGAAAGTTGAGTTACTGACTAATAAAGGATACCAGATTTAAATTACCTAGAATGAATCTTTCTTTCTGATCCAGTTTCCGCCCCAAGCACAATTGATGGAATTCGGTTGGTAACAAAGAAGGGAAGCGATATAATTAAAAGATACAACTAACCTTTAGTAACAAGCGTTTTTGAGATTATAAAAAAAGTACAAAATACTTCATTACACATGTACTTGCTTACTACTTGAATCTATTTCTTGGTGAATTGTGAATCCAAAAGTTAATCAATTATAGATGTTTCTCCAACATATTTTTTGGAATTCCATCAATTTCTATAAAACTTTACAATTCTTTTCATTTCACATCATTATCAATGGAAACTAAATTGCACAAACTAAAGATGTGTTTGCCTCCACTGCCATCAAAATTTCATTACCAAATACAAATACCCCAAAAAAGCATTAAATATTATTTTTTCTTGATATGAAATGTCCATCTACTTTATGTCAAATTATTGACAATCTCAAAAGTACAAAGTAACAGCAATTCATAGTACTAACTTGAAGGAAAGTTCTCGCAAATCTATCTGGCAATCTGCCACACAAATATACTGTAACTCATTTTTCACTCAGTCATGCAGCTGCTTTGTAGAACTTACAGAAAGGATGAAATGTGAACTTCACTTGACTATTCCCAAGTAGAAAGTAGAGGTTCAAATGAAATTATTTAAAATATGCAGTCAGCTAGTTAAAACTGTATACAATGCACAGCAACACTAGCTTCAATAAAGATACTATTTTCACCCTAAACTACTCATCAAACAGTTCTATTTCAGGGTACAATTTCCTGTACAATGCCAACAAAAGAAATTAGCATTTCCATTTGGTGACCTGAAGTAATCCCATGATACTAAGAAATATTTTATTCCATCGTCTATTCATACAAAATTTGAATGCTAAACAATGCTAAATAATGATATCAAATTATAACAAGAATGTGGAATGAAGTTTGAGTCACGGAATCAGTAAATGGAAAAACATAGAATTTAGCTCTGTTGCATTTAGTTAAAAAGCCTTCAGAATACATCACTAACTTAAAAAATCCCTCTCAGATAAACAAGTGCCTTTCTAAACTGTTCAATAAAGATTTGTCTGCATGTGCGGTCACAACTATCTTAGAGGTTTGCACCTCCAGGAAATCAGAATTAGGCAAATGAGGATGGCTACTTCCTAGAAGATATTCCCGAAATTGTTTTTTTCCTTCCAATTCATTTTGCAGAGAGCTCTTAGATTGGTTACTCTTATGTTTTAGGTGTAGGAGATATTACAAACTGTGTCTTTTATGTAGTGTCAGATTTTAAAAAAATCTTTTTACATTTATATACATTGACGAAGTTCTCATCATACATCATGAGCTTCAGGCAGCTCTTACAAAATTTTGAGGCTAAACTGAAAATTTCTTAAATCTGCTCTTGCAGCCTTGTATTTTCATTCTACACAAGGATCAGGTATTTCTCAATGTAATTTTATCAATACAATAATTCTTAATGTATTGTTGATACAAATCGAAGTATGGGGAGTTCTAACCAGCACGCTCTTAACTAAACCTGTGTCAACTTCCTGAACCACTTGCCAGATATGACATTATTAGCGGTCAGAAGAGTTGAAAAATATCATGTAAACAATTTTTGTAATTTAAATTGTTCGTAATGTTTAACTACTAATAGTGAGTGAATGCTTCAGTTACTGTATAATTACAATTTTTCTCAGTGAGCTATTTGCCTGTTATAAACACTTCTAAATTATCTATTAGTTGGACACTAACTTTAAAATTCCTGTATAACTTTTGAAAAATAAATGCGGCTCTATCGTAACTCATTCCCTAACGACTGGCTCTCAACATACTGGTTATTTGCCACCCATGATACACATCAACCTAATCATTTTTGCCCAAAATCTCTTCTTAAAGCAACGATACTACGATACTTCCAATTACAAATTTGAATGTACATTGCACAAGAATTCCCAATAATTGACCTCAACTTCATGAGTCTGTTTCAACAGAAACTTTCTCATTTACCACACACGTGTTAACTATAGTGAATGTTAAATTCATTTATTATCGACATTATCTGGTGTGTCTTTTTGATTTATATAATTGCCATTCATATGTATGACATGCACTATTATCACTTCAAATTGTATCCCCAGATCAGCCTCACATATTTCTGAGCAAAAGTGAATGTCAATTGCAAATGTATTTTCCACAACAAACCACAGTTCAGGAAAGCATAAATACCTTAAGTCATGCAGACCTACCTGTGTTAAGCTCCTGCTGCGCAGTTTCATCCTGCACAGGCTTATCATGAAGTCGCAGATAAACCTCAATAGCACACTTGGCTGCCTTGAAATAGAACGGGTGTGCACGCAGAACATCCTCTAGCCGAAGAAGACCCACATACGAGCGCAGCGTCATCTTCCGCATGCAGTAAGTGTGAAAGTCAAACTGGTCTTCGATGATTTCTGAGAAGTGCTGTGCATGAAAATGTGCATAATAAATGGTATGCTTGGAGGTATTTGTCAAAAGTACTTACCACAAATAAAGGAGAAAAGGTCTTAATTTCACTTCATGTATTCTAGGTTTCTATTCAAATAAATACTAAGAAGACATTAAACCTAACCATTAGAACTTATGTAACATTGCATTCTCAAATCACACAAGACATTACTTAACCCAAAATAATTTTCCAAATTAGAAAATAATTTACATAATATTTAAATGTTCCTGAATAATACTAACTGATGGTTATATTCTCAGATTCACTTCCAGTATTTGAATTCCAGAGTTAAATTAAATTTTCTAATGAAAGTATTTATGGTGATTTTTTTTCTTTTGCAACACATGTACGATACAGATTAAGATAAATAGTGCAATTACTATCAAATGTTAAATTACTGTTATGTTTGTTTAAAAATGAAACTTCCATTAATAAAAACTAATATGAAATGTCCCATTAGTAATTAACACATTACATATTTCTTAGTGCTACCTGAACTTCAAAATGTCCAGTCACCCTACAAAATTCAATACTTTTCCTTACCCTGTCCACTTCATGGCATTTCTTTAAAGCATCTCCCCACTTCTCAAGCCTTTGGTAAGCCAAGGCACATTCTGTTTGGAACCACATGCACTGCATTTCATTTAAGTTCTCCATGGCAGAAACTCCCTCCTGTAAGAATTTTTTTCCAATTTGTTATATTTTCCAATATAGTGCACTTTATGTTGTTCTAATTATACCCAACAAGGTTAAATCATGAACAATAATAAAAGATAAAAAATTAGTAATGGACTTTTCAATAATCTACACCTTTCTGACTATAAACACTACTAAGTTATTATTTTACATGCAATTTTCACACACTTATTTAGAACAAACTGTATGTAACAGTTCATGAACTAGGAGCTAGAATATTAAAAATACATTAATTGTTTAACAACTGGAATTTTCCCTAAAAACAATTAAATTACATGCAAAAAAAATATTACTTTACTTACTCTCGTAAATTTTGAGCAGGTCTCCTCAGCTTCTTTGACAAGATTTGCACGTAACATATACTTAGCACATTTGGAATTAATGTACCTGTCAGCTGTATCAAGTCCCTGAGCCTCATCTAGCCACTTATAGGCTTCTATGACATCACCAGCATGCTACAACAAATGTATAATTGACATTTTTTTTCAGATAAGACACAAACTGTATTAGAACAAAAAATTCACACAATCAACAGGTTTAATAAAACTTTTTTAACAGAAAAAAAGATCTGCCATAAATTTAAGAGGCAAAAACAATCTTATGTTAATATTTCTTCTTGAGCATACACAAACTCTCAAGTTGATTTGTGTAAAATACATTAAAATAAAATGGATTTGAAGTGAAATGAATTGAGAAGTTGGTATATTTCGATCTGTTGTTTTACCCAATAAGAACAAAATTATTTTAATTAAGGTCGGTTTTTATTTCATGTTGCATAAATACACTAAAAAGTTACCTTGTATATTCTGCCTTTAGCCACAAATAACTCTATTAGTGTGGGTGTGTGATCAATAGCAGCCTCTATATATGATAAAGCTTGTTTAGTCTGACCCAGAAAATCATAATGTTGAGCCAGAAAATAATATGCCCACAGAAGTGCTGATGCAGGTTCTTTAGGACTTGACTTGGGATCTGCAAAGATAAACAGTGCACTTAATCTGAACACATACAATAACTAAAACCAAATAAATGTCTTATTACAATAAAACTGAACAATATACATACTTAATACATCGTCGATTCATAGCTCACCTTCTTCACTGAATTTTCCAATCTTCTTCAATGCATCTACATATTGGAGCAGCAATCTTTGAATAATTTCAATCTTTTCAGGATCCTTATACAAAGATCTTAAATCCACAAACAATGGTGGAACACCTTTATGGAGCCCTTGTCTCAGGTACTTATCAACAATTAATCTAAACTCATCACCTATAAAATCAATGTAGTTTCAGTAATTTTATTACATATTTTTGAAAATCACAAGGACTTCATAAATCAACATTGTTCTCTTAACTGCAATGAATATTCTTGGACATTTAATAATTGTGTATTTAGATACAGATTTGCTAATGCAGTTCAATAACTGATGTATTTTTCAAACTGAAGTGTTTTGGTATTGTTAACGGTCTATTTTTCAAAACATAACCTCTATTGGTGATAATCATCATATGTAATTATTAAATTGTGACTAAAATCAATACAGTAATGTCATTCACTTAGAAGCACAGTCATAAATCTTATTTCTTAAATAATACATACAAATACGCAATTCTAAAAGCTAAAACGGCAATCGTTATGGAAGATCATTGTAAATGACTACTTCTGTTTCCATTATTGAAGTTATTACAATCAAAAAACAATTTATTTTACAAAACAAATACCTTTAGTCTTACAAAAACAAATCGTAAAATCTTTACTTTCATTTCCTAATCTTTTGAAAACCTCACAGACATACAGTAGTGTATGTCAAATACATCCTTTAATGCCAATCCAAGATGCAATTTCCAATCCCGTTTCACTTGCCAAGCAAATAACGAAACACAGTACTCACCTTTAGCATAATTAAGAGGTAACCGGCGAGGAGCCAAAGCACGTGGGTACAGAGCTTGATATTCATCAAACATACGCAAACGATCCATGGAAGTTTCCAACTGTAGGGCTTCTTGTAACTTAATATAGTATCCTGTGTTTTCAGGATTTCTGTGCAAAAGCTGTTTGTATATTCGTTCCGCATCTTTATGGCGACCAAGCTCCAAATACAGCTTTCCTAAATGACAAGCAACAAATCAATTTAAAAAGAACAAACACATTCTTCACAATATGAATAAAGTGAGATAGTGTGAATGAATGAAGTGTGATAATATGAATAAGAGGCTAACAAAATTAAATAACTCCTCAGTTTCTTTAATATTACACTGGGAAACCTGTAAAAATGTTATGCTCACACACTAGACACTTCATGCAATTTATGAAAATATTAATAGCGTACAAAACACTAACATCTAATGGATAACTCACCCCAAGTTTCCATTACTGACAATTTATCACAAATTTGGTCAGTGTAACGATCAAGATGTGCCAAAGCATCCTCTAAAGCTCCTGATTCTTGAATTACCATATTTTGATACAACAACAATTCACTGTGTTCGTAGTCGTATGAACTCTTCTGTAACAAATCAAAAGAATGCAATAAATAAACGGAAAGTAATAGAATTTCCATAAATTACCACCTACTATTTACTTACTGATTGAGTGTTGCGAAATGCTTCAAGAATCTTCAATGCCATTTCATAATCCTGTAATAAATGATACGCCATACCAAATCCAATCCATGAGGCTCTTTGAGTAGGTCGCAACATAAACAATTGATATCTTGTGTCCTAAATTTTAAAAAAAAGATGTTTAAATAGTACATGAATTTTGTCAATATTTATGAATTTAATAAGCACAAACATCTGTCCATTCAATTCTTTTTGGCAATCTTACCCTATATCCTTCCAAGTCCCGCATCTGAATTTGTAGAAGTGAAAGATCTCTAAGAATTTGCATATTATCTTTCTCCCATTTTAATGCATTTCGATAACACTTAATAGCTTCATCATACTTTTTATCTGAACGAATCAGTAGGCCATAGACATGCCAACATACATGAGATCTAAGATCATTACGAAGTCCTCGTCTAACATATTCATATGCTTCTTCTTTCCTCCCTAAACAATTTAATGTTAAACCTTTCATTGCCAACGTTTCTGAAAACGGGTGGAAATGAGATTATTAAAAGTTACAAAAAGAAGAATCGCATATCAATAAAAAAAAGATAAATTCAAAATGTATGTTTTAACAAACCTCCATGTTCTGCATATTTAGGGTTTGCAAGAATTTGCTTTGCAAACTTCAACCCATTTTTGTATTGTTTCTGTTCATAACATTTCTGCAAGAAAAATGTGAAGTTCTCAAAAAAAAGTAATAAAGTATTACTACATTACACAGGGATATAATTTAAAAAAACAAATCACTGAACAATTAACATCATTCGAAAAGGCTCGCTCATCTCACACAGCATTCTACAAGAATTCAGTCATACACAATAGAAAAAATTCCAAAATAATGCTACTTTTGATGGGTGTTCCAAGATGATTCATCAGAATAGAGAAACTTATGCTTACTCAAACAAAAATCACCGCTTCGTGAATCTATTACAATTTCGTTTCAAATGCAACATCATGAAAGGGCAATAATAGTAAATATAATTCATAACTACATTAAAGACGGTCACTGATCAGACGTGTGGCCTGCCTAGGTTAGGTGAGATTACCAGCTACGGCACTAAAAAAACTCAGCATTTTGCCTCAAATAAAACCAAAACGATATGGTGCCTCATTATTTCATTTTCATCTTTATACCTACATTCAACTGAGAAAACACATCTGTCAGAGTTATAAAACGAAATTTATGAAATGAGCGAGGCAAGCCCAACTAGAGCTTTATCAGTATTCTTTGAACAGAATCATAATATTTTGAAGTCATGCTCTTGGCAGATAGGTCAACTTACCAATATCCGCTTAAATAACGCGTTTTCCTTGGGCGGTAGGGGATTACTTGAGGGCATCCTCTAATTCCTACAAATCCCGGTAAATATATTTTTCCTCCACAAACCTCGTGGCTTGAATCCAAGATGGCGTTCAAGATCACGTGACAAAGAAGTTTTGCCGATAGGAACGTAATACACCACTAGCAGCCAAGCATAGGCACATCGTTCAGGAGGGCTTTTCGAGTGCATTCGTAAAAATTACGATTTAAACAAAACATATTCTTTCAAATTATACCTCATTTTCTTTTTAAAATTGTAAGCTAAAAATGAAAGTGTAGTTAGTGATCTCAATAAACTCAAACAATAATTTGTCACTAAGACTTTTTTAAGTATATCTAAATCCGGCTAACAAGTTATTCTTACATATAACATCATTCCTCACACTTTATGCTTTCATACCTCTAATCTTCATTTATATGAGAAATACAATTTCAAAATCAATGGATTTAAATCTACATTCATTACCAGTTATCAGTTTGCTTTCATTGCCATTCTTTAAAATTTAAAGTACTTAATTTAAATTACTTCCTTTTGTTGTTAGGAAATTCATAATAGAAAGATACCGATTCTGGAGTTCAAGAAAACTTGAGATAAAACTTCTCCCCAGTTACCATATACAGTTTTTACTATTTTTTACGAGAAATAATCGAGGCTGCATATATTTTTCAACTCTTCCATGTTCTTATTGTCATTCTGGTATTTCCTGACCATAGTTAATTAATATTAATTATATTATATTCGACAATTCACGTGAAGCAATGTAAGCTTTGACAGATATGAATATTGTCTTCCGAGCTGGCACACCAATGTCCTGAGAAAATTGTACTTCCTAAAGTTTCGTTTACAGCTGCACTGGACCTCTTCAATGGCAATGGAAAGAAGCAATGCACTTTCCTCGGGCTCCCTCCTGACTCAGAAAATAAATTTGAAAGTTTGTTATTTCCGAAATTTCGGAAGTTTTAATGAAAATTGGACCCATACCATATTATTAATTTTGATTTTCCCTATTCGAGCAACAATTAAAAAAAATATTGAGTAGTTTTTGAGACAATCTTCACAAATTTAATTTTCTCGCTACTTCTTACGAAGTATAAAGAAAGATACATAATACTGCGGGATTTTTTCACAAAAACTCTAATTGACGCACTCCGGTAACGAAAAAGTGGATAAATCTTGTCCCTGTATTTATTAAATTGCTGCCTCTAATACTTGGTGTAGCCAGAATCCATGTTTTGTGGGTCATTGAGACAGAAAAATCGATTAACGGCGAAATATACGTCTGTCCGTCCATCTGTCCGTCTGTGAACGACATCGGATAAACCGTTCAGGCGATTTTCTCCAAAATTGATATTTTCCTATCGATTGGGTGATGTCGCAACCCAATGAGTTTGAAATATGGAATTTTGGGAGGTGCTTTACATTAAGAGCCTGAGACATTTTCAAATTTTTACAAAAAAGTGACACTAAATTTTTTAATAGAATTTTGTTGTCGGGTAGCGTTAGACAGAATGACGCAGGCTTGATTTTCGTTAAAATCCCTGATTTTACGAAAATTTCAGAAGTTCAAAACTTTTTCAGCGTCTTCTTAGAACAAAGTTATTTAAGATTTTTAGACAGATAGGTAATTTTCTTTAAATATTTTTTTCTCTAAATCAGAAGCCACTTGTTTATTAACTTTTGACTACGAATAGCGAACAGGTCACTTAAAACTCAACGAAAAATAATTTTATGTATTCCAAATAGAAGCAATTGTGTCCCATAGAGAACGTCTTATAAGAACTGTCATAAAATCACAACAATGATAACTGAAAAAAAGTTCCATTATGGAAAACATGGTTGCCAGATTGGAGAATTTTGCCCCCAGAATGAGGATTTATCTTCGTTGTGAGGAAAGAATGGGGAACATAAATGTCCGGGAAATGTTTTGGAGATTTTTTGAGGAAATTAATTTTACATGGATTCGCGATTGAAATATTATTCTCTCAATTATTATGAATGAGAAAATAAAACTCGTTATTTTTTTTTGTATCAAAAAGAGAACCAGTGGTGCTATAGAATGACACAGACTTTCCCATATAGTTTTCTATTTCTTATGGTCTCGGATAGCTAAACGAACTTGCCACAAATTCTTGCCAGCTGTCATCTATCACCACCCAAAGTACATTTTTTTTAAATTGTCTTAATTTTTCGGTTTCCGAATAGTAGAACAGAAATATTATTTTATAGCTATTAACATACATAGAAATATGATGACCTTTCTTAGAAATATGATGTTATTACTGCAGAGACTAAAATATATAAATCGAGGCGGTGCGTAGCGGATCCGAGATTTTTAATTTGGATGAAGCAGTAATAACACTGTAAAATTTCGTGGTATGTTCAACATTTTACTGGTCGCCATGAAATCTCACGATTTATGCGAGAATGTACATTACTTTGATAAAAAAATCAAATAGAATCTGTTGCTGCAACAAATTACTACGATATGGTGGGATGATGCGTGTTTGTTTGTTTGTGTGTGCTAGCTTATTTACACAATATTCGTATACCGTGATTTGTGAAAAGAGGGATGCAAATTATTATCCTGAACCTAAAGATACTTAAATAAACGACGTTCAATTAGAAAGTTGGCGCGTCGACTTCCAGTAGCTAGCCGACACCTCCAGATCAACAGTAAATATGATTATCGGTGAAGAGTTTCATTTGAAGCAATGGTAGGAAAATGAGGTTTATTTTATCTAATATACATTTTAATATCACTTTTAATATTACAATTCACAATCATATCAACAGAACTAATACGAGGTGTTCTGAATTGTTTCAATCTGATGTCTATTAAACATCGCCAGTTTTTTTCATAATGAACATTTGACTTGTGATGAATCGATTGTTGTTTATTTACGTAGCTAAGTATGTTAAAATCCGTTGCTAGGCACGTTAAATTTCTTAACGTACTGGTAGGTATAAGTGCACTTAACAAACCTACAGGGTTGCCTTTAACAGTGGTTAAAGAAACAGGTGAGCGATAGAGAATAATAAATAACAGTAAAACCTCGTCCTAAATAGCAATTTCCTTTGAAAAAATTGGAGCCGTTTTTAAGAAAATGGTGCATAATCTTTACAGTAACTTCGAAATTTGAAGCTCTTTTTCACACAAAATTTTTGAGTTTTCGCAAAACTTCATTGGAAGTAATTTGAATCACATTAACTCACAAATATAGTAATGCTTACAAATTGCTGAAAATGTACATATTAACTGGTTGAGAGATTTCAAAAACTATTGGTGCAACAGAATGAAATAGACAACTAGTTTTCTATTTTCTTTGGTCTCAGCTAGCTACTCTGTTTTGCCACATACTCTTGCCAGCTGCCATCTATCGCCGCCCAAATTACATTTTTTAAACAGTTTTTTTAGTTTATTGGTGTCGTAATAGTAGAACGGAAATATTATTTTAAGAATATTAAATACCAGTAAAATTTCGTCCTAAATGACCATTTTCTTTGATAAATTTGAAGACGTTTTTAAGAAAAGGGCATTTGAATCACATTAACTTACAAATACAGTAGTGTTTACAAATTTCCGGAAATGTGCGTGTTAATGGTGAGAAATCTATAAAAAAAAGTGCTATTGAGTAATTTTTGAAAGAAACAACAAAAAGTTCTTCAAAATGAACTTAACGCCATATTAAATAGTGCAATTAGCACTATCTATTCGAAATGTTTGAAGAAAAAATATGGAGCCAATAATGAGAAAATGGCGTTTGAGGGGTTCTGAAAACGAGCAATTTGGAGCCAGTTTTTACAGTAACACAAAACTGTTAAGTATTCGAGAAACTGTATTTGACACTCATAAATATAATAGTGTGAATAAATCGTCACTAGCATAAATATTAACGACGTGAGAGGCACGACAAAAAAATTAAATTTTTGCACTTGTTGAAAATAAACAAAAAAAAATAGCAATGTGACTTTTATGTCATCTCATTGCGCATTATACCTACCGAAAGTTAAAAGAAAAATTTGGAGACGTTTTTGATAAAATCATCCATTTGAAATTGTTTATATTTGCTCATATTGCATGCAATATTGCGCGAAAACTACTAAACGTTTCAAAACAATGTACATGATATTAATGAAATAAGTAATTATGGACAACAAATTTAATTTGAACGAAAAAACTTTATCTTCAATTTTGTAGTTGTAGGACGACGCAAAGAAAATAATACTTTGGACATTTTCGAAAAGTTAGAAGTAACCGTGAAAATTCGTCCCATACCACTTTTGAGTGAGTTAGTCTATTTGTGTAAGAGTGTGTTAGTCTATTTTTACAAGAAATTTAAAGAAAAAATTTGGAGTCGTTTTGAGAAATTTTTGAAAATGTCCGGTGAATTTCATGTACAGTACCCCCAAATTTTGAGGAATGTTATTCAATATCTCAAAGATTCAACTCGAGCCAGATGGACAAGTGTTTCTTGAGTTGAGAAAAAATCCTACGCTTGGTTAAGGCGCTAGAGATGTTCACAGACTGAGAGGGACGTTTTGCCGTCAATTGATTTTTCGGTATCAAGGACCAACAAAATAGGGATTCTGGCTACACCTCGTGTTAGAGTATTTTATTTCTTAATTTAGCAAGTGGATTTATCCATTTTTTTTGTTTTCGGGACACTGGAATTAATTTTTTTCTGCTGAAAATCCGATGATTTTTTTCGCGCAGAATTACATTTTTTTCACATACTACGTATATTACCCCGTATATATGTAGTATACGGGAAAATAAAAATAAGCGACAGGCGTAGAGAAAGGAAAACATGAGTAAAACGAAGATAGTTTAGGACTTGAAGTAGACAACTGGTTAAATTGAATTATTTGAATTTAGACGGAGAGCCAACGGAATCGTCGGGGACAGCTCAAGTCGTTGGTCCATTATTGGGAGAATATTTTTCGTTTCAAAGTTGGAGAAATTTGTTTCATTAGAGATGTTATTTAGGGAAATTTTGCAGAAGAGATGGAGAAAGAGCTCGCAAACCTGGCAAACCTGATGAAAAATAGATCAATAATAGTTATCCCTAAACACAGCAAACCAATGCATGAAGTTATATCTTACAGACCCTTTAGCCTACTGCC